TAACCATTTCTTGATGTTTTAGAAAGGTAGCAAATTCTTCTCAATTATTTTAAGACCTTGAGTGTTGGTCCGACAGGGGCTCGAACCCTCGACCTCCGACATAACAGTCCAGCGCTCTATCCATTGAGCTAACCGAGAGGCGGTAATGGTATAAAGTTTTACTCGTTTGTTTGTTAATTAGACAATTCTTTTTTTGTATTCTACTTTCTGAGCCAGATTCGGGAACAATTTCATTTCAAAGACATCTTACCCAGTCCTCTTCCACAGTCTCTGACATCTTACCAATCATTAGCTACAGGAAAAATAGAAAATAAATTAGGTCACTAGAGATGATAAAATAAGTTAGACCGTGCCACTTTCGTTTTGGTCTTTATTTGCCGTTCTTTCGAATCCTTGTCGTTATCATACGGAGGTTTTCTACTTATTTAGCTTAGGCTCATGCGAGAGTGAACAAAAATAGTCTTGAATAACAGAGGAAAGTGATTACCTTCAATTATTTTCCGAACACTTTGAAAAGTGAAACGCTATCAGGGGAGATCGAACGTGGTTCGCCTTGATACGATGAACACGTGAACAAACATGATACGCGGGTTCTGGGTGGCAGTATTATTTTCCTCACACAAGAAAAATGCGATACGCGCCAATTGATTGGCTCTCGGCTTCTTCAACCAGCTTGTGAATGTAAATGTATTTCGCGCCTTTTCAGCGCGTAAATCGCAGTATAAATAATATATTTATTTTCGATCAATCAAAGAGATTAGAAGTTTTGAGACTTTCAGAATTTAGACAGATGAACGAACAAACAAACAAAGTAAACAAGAAAAAACATAAGAATAAACAAAGAATAAAAAAAATTGAATAAATACCTGTTATCACTTCAGATGCACAATACAGTACGTAAAAATATAAAATGGCTGTTTTCATCTTCTGGCGAGGCATTTTGTCATGAGGGAAAAACCATAGCAAAGCAGGAAAAGAAAAAAAAAGAACTTTGACATGAGTGGTATTTGTATACTATGAAAAGTCATGCAATGCAAATGCTGACTCGCGGAGGGCTTAGCGAAAGTACTACAACTATACTTCGTTGATTATCGTTTGGAAAAGTTTTTTTTCTTAGACAATGCTGTAGATTGGTATTAATCATTAGATGAAATCTAAGGACAATCTCGTTTTTAAATCAAACATAGGATAAGATAGAAACATCGAGTCAAATTTAATTTAATTTTTCCTACGATCAAAGCCAAGAAACGAAAATAGTTTTTCAGTACTTTTGAAGTCTAAATGACGATAATCATTGGAAGTAAAAACGTGGGGAAAGCCTTTCTACAAAAAAAGAGAAAATATCTGTTTAAAAAACTATTCTCAGCCCACAATACCCGGTACTAACGCAGGACAGAGTGGGGGATGCTCTGAGCCGGCAATCTAGCTTCGAAGCAACTAGTTTTACCTAAGACGAAACATTGCTTGATATGTTTCATGATCAAGTAAATTATTCCGGCCTCAGTTTGGTCATATTTTATAAAAGAAATCTTAAAGTTGCTTAATGACATCAAAAGCTGGGATTATTTAATTTCGAAAGGCTAAAAGTTACAAACAGCATGTAATCGATAAATGTCAGTTACCTCAAGTACACAATAGGAATATTTCGAAGCCTCTGTTCTTCAACCGCTATCAACTCAATCACAAATCGGAACAATTATTCAAGAACGACTGCCTCGTTAGTTTTCCTCTGACTAATGATGACTTCAACATTACAGTACAATTTGGCAATGTCAGTACTTGCTAGCTTGCTCATGTCTCCTAGGTATCTCATTATTTTTGCTGGTGTCGAATTGAATCTGCATCTTTGTTTAGCGAACTTTTCCTTCGTTAAATATTAAGAACTGATAACGCAACTTCCTGTTATCGCGTAATCGAACTCGCTTACCGCATGGGTATCAATGCGGTAAACTGTTAATCGTAAAAGCCAGCACCGCACTGTGACCCTCTTGCCATGGTGATGCTTTACCGGGGGTCTCAATGAGATTCACCAATAGCCGTAGACCGGCCAAATGATGTAACAGTTAGGCATAAGAATCGACATTTTAACTGTCAGTGAAATAAAAAGTAAACCTTTAGTGAGCTTAAAAATCAAACATACACTGTACATGAAAGAAAAAAGTACCAGCAGCAGGTTGCATTTAACCTTCAAAGTGATTTTTAGTTCCTTATTACTATTATTACTCTTCTTAGTCGGTAATTGATGCTCTAAAAAACATGATATTTTGATCCGATACGATACTTATACAGTGTCACGGCCATAAGGCTCTGTAATGATTCCCTTCCCTCTCACGGGCAGTTAACCGACGATCGATTTTCAGTGGACCCTCTTTGCACCCTGTCACGTGTTTGCCCTCCGGTCTTCCCTAAAACCATTCAACACTCCCCTCCCCCACAGCTGGTTAATAACGACTTTTCCCTGACTTGTCCTATTGATTTACGAATCATCACACAGCTAGATGATATAGTTGATCTGCTGCTCACTGCTGTGACCATTGCTGGATATTAAACAGCAGTCAATTTTTCTTTAGACCCACCCTAATACTCCGTTCCTCTCCGTTCCCCCTCAAAACCAAATGATTCCCCCCCCAATCAAAAAAGAAAAATTGGCCCATTGATTTGTGAATCCTTACGCGTTTAGAGTTGGTGGGGGAGGGAGGTGGTTGAATTTGCGTTTTACTAGCTTTAGATTACAAACCTAGTCGTCTTATTATCATTTATTATTTATGGGATTTACATACGTTAACTATTGCCGAAAATGTAAAATCTAATCCAAGTTAATAACGACATGGATAAACTCTCATCTGCAAACTTAAGTCCAGTCGCACGTTGGTCCGTGGAACAGAATATCGCTTTAATCGTGCAAACTCTTTGTATATGATTCGGCCGAACTAAACAAGCCAGTTGAATAAAGATTCCTGTGTGCTGTCTGGTCCTTCTCTACCGAAAGACTAATGATGATTCTTTGCTTTAAACAATATTTACAAGAATAAGACTCACTTAGCCTCTCTCCGCAATAAGGCCCTTCACCAGCATCTGAGAAACCACAAAACGTCCAATTATTGTAGTGATGTGTGAGAAATTACGAGAAGTTAACGATATCTTAAAGCTTCGTATATTAACTTGCTCTACATCTGAAATACCTTGTGATGCTGTAGTTGAACTCCCAGTCGAAGCCCCAGTCGTTGGTTTAGGGCTTGCTGTCACAAAGGCGCTTTACGGAACAAGTATAATTACTAGGTAATATGATGTGTTTCCAGATTTGAATAAGAGAAACTATCATGGCAAAAGGATCCTCGCGCTGCATTTATTACGATGTCTCGTGAGACACTGGTTATTGAGTGGAGCATGAAAATGAATGGTGAGACGAATTTTTTTCTTCTACAAGTTTAATATTTTCTCCTACTTTCGCCCTTCTCTGCAATTAAACGTATTATTAAAGCGTAATCGAAGTAACCACAAGGAGAGGTTTTAGTATTGTTGAAGCTTTCAAGTATTTACCGTTACAAAATAACACAAGACCACCCTCTTACCGGTTCAAATTAAATTGGATATTTGCCGTGGATTGTTTATAATTACATAGCACTGAAAAAGCCTACTCGAGTGGTATATTTTGACCTATGTATTCGTTTTTCAAGTCACTTCTCATCAAGCTACCTTCCAAAGGAAGCTAAGATAAATTAGAAGATCACGCCGTCCATAGTCCTTGAATTAAAAGAACCTGTTCTCAAAGTAAGCAATGATTATAACCCATCCGAGAGAAGTTACCTGTTCGCTGGCTACCCAAGGTTACATTAGAAATCGCCCTGGTAACCAGCCTCACTAAAAAATTATAGGTTTTGTGTTAACATTAATCTATTCAAATCACTAGGGATGTTTGGTATGCAAAGACGTCACAGCAGTAGAAAGTGAAACTAAACCATAGCTGATATGAACCATACGGCGGCTCAAATTAAATTGGATATCTGCCGTGGATTATTTATAATTACATAGCACTGAAAAAGCCTACTTGAGTCGTATATTTTTACCCATGTATTCGTTTTTCAAGTCACTTCTCATCAAGTTACCTTCCAAAGGAAACTAAGATAATTTACAAGGTCACACCGTCTATGGTCCTTGAATTGAAAGAGCCTGTTCTCAGAGTAAGCCATAATTATAACTCATCCGAAATAAGTTACCTGTTCGCTGGCTACTCAAGGTTACATTCCAAATCAGTCTGGCAACCAGCTTTACCAAAAATAGGTTTTGTGTTAATATTGAGCCATTCAAATCACAAAGGATATTTGGTATGCAATTACGTAACACCAATAGAAAAAGTCATGCGCTAGCGAAACTAAACCAGAACTGACATGAAAAATACGGAACCAAGGCTGTCTGCATCAACCAACCCAGCTCAAGACCAACCTTCCCAACCTGAGGAGACAACTACAGCCTTCATACGAAGAATTCTCCAACAGGATTCATTGCCCAACTATCTTTCGAAGGGTTCTTGTGCGGTTTTGTGCGGCTGCATCGTTTATCAAGCATTCAAGTACACCACTGATACGAGTATACCAATAGAGGACATAGAACGAATAGTGACAAGGGTGTGCTTGCTCCTTAAAATTACACCAAGGTTATGCAATTTTATCGCACAGATTTGATCTCAGCCCAATCAACAAGACCAGTACCATCATCCAAAAATCAGTAGAATCAGTCGCAGAGATTCTTCAAAACATCAGCTGAGGCAACAAGAGATGACAATTTTTTGCTACGTAACGAGTTATGTGACGTCAAGCGTTGCATAACTACTACAAACTTTTCCATTTTCTCTGAATTCTATACTGTTCGTAGCAGTTCTCCTTCTCCTTTGGAAGTCGTAAACGTCCGCTTTTCATAAGCTAGGCGTTCTTACGAGGCTTGATATCAACCGAAACGACTCATAGCGACCTTGGAACGCAGTAGCGGACTCGCCCACTCGCCTGACACATTACAAATCTATAAGCTCATTTTTATAAACTCAAGTATTAAACTCGTCAGGGTACCCTTTCCATTTTACAAGGAATTTATCACCTTAGTTTTCTTTTGATAACCTTATCAATTCTATATACATCCTGCGCCTTCTTTTGGAGCTCCTGTTCATAAAACGTTCAACAATGCAAGGAGAAGTGGTAGAACCCAAACGCAGAAAAACTCAGAGTGGAGCGAACGTTGCAGGCGAAATGCTGGAGCGCGCGAGTGAATCGCCGTCGGCGGCAGATTCCCTTCGAAATTTCCGGGTGTCGATGTCCCCAAACGAATCAGCTGGTTCGGCTTCCTCACCACATGGTACGTTTCCTATTCTTTTTTAGTCTTCCGGATGAGAACGATAATGAGTGCCCTTTTACCATTAGAACAATTTATTACATTACATTACAATATTGTACCTCGGGTCTACAGTTCGATACTAACAGTAACTTGGATAGTGTATCACCAATATTGAAACACTCGCTTAAACTTGTAAATTTCCAGTCGTGATTTATAGCGGATTTTTTTCCCAATTAGGTAATGGTTGTTAGAAAACACTCGCAAACCAAGGTTTTCTTTTTCCAACAGTTGGCGTCGTATGCATGTTTCGATACCTCCGTTTCCAAAAATGTAGCCTTGGGTAACACCAAAGAAATGTACTGTCCTGCATAAGAATGTTTTATAAGGAGTAATTCTTCTAGAACTACAGGTTTCATTTCATAGTTGGTGGAATTATTCCTCCCTGGTTACTTAACACCTTTTACAAGACATTTGGGCTCCCATTTAAAATTATCACAGACACTCAGAATCACTGGAAAGCAGAATAGACATCAGTTGTTTAGAGTAAAAAAGGCAGACCAAATAGTTTCCCAGAATTTGAATGTCTTTGAAGTAAGCACCTTGATCTCTGCTAGGCGATTTGGATGCCCAGCATTTCGGTACATCTGCAGAGACGATGCTTCTCTATTCACGCTTTCATTCTGCAAGAGAAATAAGTCAAGAAAGAGTAAGCAGAGCATCCAAAAGTGCCAAAGCAATTGTGCAGAATTTACAACAGCATAAGTTTTTTATCCAGTCAAGAATGGCAAGCTCCATGTGCATTTTGTAAGTGTCATCTCCATTATGGATCTGCTTTGCATCATAAATGAGCATCCCTGAATGGACAGATTCAATCTAGTGTTTCCCTACACTGTAGAAGGTAACAGATTTTGAGTGACTTATTTCTGAACATGAATTTTTTAAACTCTTTTTTGCCTTTTCTGCAACATCACTAATTTGGAAGAGGCAAACTTTTTCATGCAAAGAAACATGAAAATACAGTAGCAAGTGCCAATTAATTACCCGCATGTAGTTAGATGCATGTGTATATGTTGAGGTGCCCATAATGGCTTTTCTATACGCAGCTACGGCGTCAGGTTTAGTTAAAACCTTTTGGCTCATTA